GGGGGGATACGTGCCCTTGATAAAAATACTCATATATGTATATGTATTCAATGGGCTTCCAATTAGACTCTCTATATTTTTATATGATGTGTGTATGTGATTCATATATGAATATGAGAACAAGTGTCTTAATCACCATCACAATCAGGGTGAAAAGATGATTGTTTCATTTCCATGGGTGTAAGGTGGTGATCTCTCAGATAGATCTTAGCCTGAGTAGGCCTATATTAATAACTTTAAGTCTTTAATTAAAAGATTATAAAAGTTAAGGCCGCTGTGGCTATTTTTACGACTGTAAAGATGGTTTTTGAAATTATAGCTCCTATTTATAAATCAGATTCCAGTGTATGGAATCAAATGAGATGATGATGATACTTTATTTACTTTAATCACCTTGAACTATCTCTGTTGTATTGTTACCATATAATTTTGAAACCAGCTTTTGATAGTGTTGCTCTTTGTAATTCTGATTCCCTTCGGCAACTAACCAGAGGCTTTCATCATTATAAAAAAAAGATTAGCCTCTTGAAATTATTACTTTGCTGTAGTCGTTGATTTGTTTTGTTTTATGATAATTAAATTGTCCTCATAACCTGGCGGACAAGTTCTCATTGACACAAAATTTGTCGGGTTGCCAAAAAAAAGGAAATTAACCGTTATCAAAAGGTAGACAGTCAGCATGTTTTTATTCTTATATATGTGTGAGGCATCGTGGTGAAATCAGACACTCGCCAAAATTATGACAAAGAAATCAGCATTTTTTGGGGCCGATGTGCAATTTTTTTCTAATTTTCTTTTTTCGGCTTAGCACCTTATATGTCCATTTAAAAATACATTTTTGTGTGGATTTTACTTCGAAAGAATGATTAAAGGCACACAAAAAATGTAAATTTTCAGTTTCCAAGAACTTTCAAGCTATGAAGTTACCAAACTCTGGTGGCCACTTTCTCACTAATTAATTTTTACCTTTGAAACCAGGCAACCCTGACCTCCTTCAATCGCAAATTTTTCGACTTCTTTTCAACATAGATGGATTTTATTTTTTTACCAAAAGGAAAGCACATGAACAGGCTTTAAGATGATACCAATTTAATAAACCCCATATATATGCCCAAAAACTGACGAGCGTCTGATTCCGCCACGTCATGGCACATATGAAGTGATCCCAGTGAAACAGTTAAAGCTCTGTAATGGCTCTCTATTGCAATCATGATTCAGAAATTTCCTTACCTGTTGAACTGTTGAATAGAGCTCAAATAGAGTTTGACTCATTTTCCCATTACCGTCCATAATGTTCAACCGATCGATCAAGTGAAATAGTGAGTCTTTTTGTCCAGTGTTCAGATCACATTCACAAC